CACAACAGCCTCATTGGTCTAGGTATAGGTTTCTCATGAGCACAATTAAGTGCTCTGGGATTCCCATTCTTCTCAAATTCCTTTGTATATTCAACAAAGTATAAATAGTCATTCTTCTGGTATTTAAGCCAGGATCCATCCATCTGACATCAGCAATAATATCCCTAGTCAGTCTCCCCTAAATCCTGCTTGAACTTCTGGCAGTACCCTACCTATGTACTTCTCTAGTTGTTTTTGAATGATCTTCAGCAGTACTTTGCTTGCATGAGAAAAAAATATTGTTTAAGTTTCCATGTTATATTGAATCACCTCTCTTGGAAATGGGAACAAATATAGACCTCTTCCAGTCCTTTTGTTAGACAACTGTCCTCCAGATTTTGGGGCACAGACAGGTGAGAGCATCTAGGGCTGCATCTGTTAATAGAAACAAGTCAGTTGGAATCCCATTGATCCCTGGGGCCCTAATTTTTTTTGTAAGTGTCATGTTTTTTTTTTTGCCATACAGCTTCACTACCTTCATTACCACTGACTCCACCTCATAATGTACTTCCTGAAATTTTTCAGTGTCAGTCAGGTGTTGTTTGTTGTTGTTGTTGTTTTGACATAATGATTCTGTATATTCCCTCCATCTTCTCTTGATACTTCCAGAGTCATTCAGCATATTTCCCATAGCATCTTTCAGTATTGCAACTTGAGGCTTTTCAGTTTTTTGCTTGAGAAATGTAGTTCTTCTCTTTTTACTCTCCAATTCCCGCTCTTTGCAAATTCCATTATAATACTTTGCTTTGTCTTCTTGAGCTGCCCTGTGAAATTTCCTGATTAGCTCTCTTAGCAAGTTTCCCCTTTGTTTCGGCTTCTCAATGCTCTAGTGCAATTTTCTCTGTCTTTGTAATGACCTTTTTCTCTCTTCATGGATGATATCCTTGATGTTGTTATGTGCCACTGAGTCGCCTGCCCTTAGCAATGCTATGTATAGCAGCTCTGAACTGTGCCATGTCCTGGGCCAGTCTCACTGATTCCGACACACCAACCCCCATTGCCCCAGTTTCTGTATCATTCCATCTCATCTGGGATCTGGGATCTTCCTCTTCTGCACCATCCCTCTACCCTTCCAGGCAGGAATGTCCTTCTGCAGATTGGTTCTTTCTGGCCACATGCCCAAAGTATGTGAGACGGACTTTCAAAATCCTAGTGTCCAAGGTGAAACTTGGTTTCATCCACTCCAAGACAGACCTGCTTGTTTCTTGGCATTCCATGGTATGTTCAAGACTTCAGCACCACAGCTCGAAGGCATCGATTCTTCTACTGCCTTTCTTAGTTATCGTCCAGCTCTCTGATGCATAGCAAGTAATTGCAAAGATCATAACCTAGATTAGGCACACCGTAGTCACTAGACTGACATCATTGCATTTCAGCATTCTGGAGAGGTCACTGACAGCAGTCATTCCACAAGTCATCTGGTCATGGGTATTAAGTGCTTCAAACCTTTTCAAAGCTAAAATTCGGGTAGAATAGATTCAAGATTATATTCTTGTTTCTTGTGGACTTGTTTTCATTTTCTTCGGCCTCTCTTTGAACTTTATAAGAAATAACTTTACTTGGTGTATTTTTGCAGCAGAATATACAAAAAATAACAAAAACCCCTTGCTGTCTGGTCACCTTTGACTCACAGCAACACCACTGGGCTTCTGAGGCTACACATATTTGTGGGAGGAGACTGGACAAGTGCAATACAGTACATGATAAAAATACTTAACCATTGTCTTCTGGTATTTATTTGTGCAGAGCACTATCCTGAATATATTAAAACACCAAGCTTTATTTTCATTGCTAAAGAGCAATGATGTCAGTTTAAAGACTAAGGTACCACCTAATTCAATCCATAGTCTTTTCATTTAGTTCATGTGCATCTCAAAGTTGAACAATGAATGATGACAGAAGAATTGATATCTTTGAGTTGTGGTGTTGGATAAGAGAACTGAATATCCCATAGACTGCCAAGAAAACAAATACGTCTTTGAGAAAGTGCATCCTGCATACTCCTTAAGAAAGAAGGATAATGAATCTTCATCTCACATATTTTAGGCATGTTGTTAGAGGCTGGTACTTGAAAACAGACATGCTTGGAAAGGTGGAAGGGCAGCTAAACAGAGGAAGACCCTCAACAAGATGAATTGACACTGTGGTTGTAACAATGGGCTCAAGTGTATCAGAGGTGATGAGGGTGGAACAGGATAGAGAAAGGTTCAGATCTGTTGTCTTGGGATTGCTGTGAGTTATTGTGGACTTAATGGCACAAAACAACAACCCTCTTACTCTACATTTCTCATGTGCATCTTTGTGCTCCAGCAACTCGACAACGCCTGAAGTTCCCTTGTCCTTTTCCTACATACATGCCTTGCTCTCTCCTACAAAACTGAGTCCAAATAGTGGTCTTCTCCTCTGCCCCACAGTTTGCTAACACATTTATTGGGCCAATAGAGTCCTACCAATTTGTATTCCTACCAGTAATGATGGCATGGTGTACTAGTGTCTGTATAATCACAAAGAACTGGACTATATACATATGTTTGATAGATTTTAACGGTAATATTTTTCTCCTTATTGTCTGAAGTCTCATATTTTGTTTTTATGTGTGCTATTAAAAATACACTTTTCTTCGCTCTTACAGTGCCGTATATAGACTCATATTGGTTCTCAAACAGATTTCTCAAAAATTACATCAGCATGCTTGATGTTTTAAAAACTCCTTTGGTTTATAAATAGCATGGCTTGGCTATTCATTGTAATATTTTCCATTTTTCCATTCTATGATTATTACTGTAAAAAATAAAATGGGCTTTGGTGTTATATATAAAAAGTATCTGAAGGACAGTATTTACATTTCTTCACTCTTTAGAACACATTTAAGATTTCTGGTGTAATAGATTTTTATCATTTTATTAAGTGACTAATTTACCATTTTAAAAAGTTTTTGACTGACTATGATGTATGTATAATAATGGAAGAAAGAATATTCTCAGCAGAAAAATATATCTAATTAAAAGACGTGTAACAGCCAGTTTGAGGAACTCAGAAAGAATATCCTCAGTAGAAAAATATATCTCAATTAGCAGACTTGTAACAGCCAGGTTAAGAAACTCTTGGGCCATTTATAAGAAATTCCAGTGGGCAGAAAAACTGAAGTAATGGCAATGGAACAGCCAAATGGAATGAATGAAAATGATGATTGTGAAAAATGTGAACCGTAGCATAGAATAATTTGTGTAGAGAATGTTGAGAATCTAATTTGCTGTGTAAACTTAACACCTTAAACGTAATTTTTTAAAAAGAATGAAAGAAACTTCAAACTGTATCCTTGAGGAGAGATTGGGGAAACTTTTTTCTGTAAAGGACATTTTTTCCCTCTCATTGCCATTGAGTTGGAACTCATAGCTGACCCTCCATTGGAGTCCCAGGGCTGTAAACCACACAGGAGAAAGTTGCTTATCTTTTGTGGAGTCACTGGGACTTAGAATCACCAGCTCTTTGGTTGGCAGCCCAGCTCCTTATGGACTGCATCCCCAGCTCTCCTTGTAAAGGACAGTTTTGGTTGTTGTTAGGTGCTGTTGAAATAGTTCATATTTATATATATATATATTCCCCCCCCCAATTTTTAGAACAGTTTTAAGTTTATACAGTAGTTGAATAGAAATTACAGAGAATTACCAAATACTTTCTCCCTCAGTGTGTAAAGTTTCCTCTATAATAAACATCTTATTTTGTTATGGTTCTTTGTTAAAATTGATGAAACAATATTTGTTTTTGTTGTTCTGTCCTGTTGGGTCAAGTATGACCCATCACTACCCTATCAACAATGGCTTTGAACCTTGCCTTGTCCTGAGCCTACCTCATCATTTCTGGCACACTTACCACCTCACTGCCACAGTCACTGTGTCAATCCATCCATGCAGGGTATAAAATCATTATGGTAGAATGCATAGATGATCAAAGGAGAGGGGGGAGGTGGAAACAGATGGGTGAGGCTGTGCAGAGGAGGGGGGAGGAATTAATCATGGGGTCATAAAATATGATGGGTGGTAAGGGTGAGGGAAATGGGAATGTTCTGGTGTTAAAAACAGTGCAAAAAACCCTCCAGTGTATTTGAATTTTGTAAATAAACTAATATTAAAAATGTTATAGCTAAAAAAATAATAATAAAGGAGAAAGATCAAGCTCTTTAGAAGAAATTGAGACAGTTATTCTTATAACAATTCTGCAAACTTTTTACATCAATACATTGCCCTAACCTGAGCTATTCTCATCGTGTCAGCCATGATCCCAGGGACAGTTCAAATCCACAAGTTTCTTCACAGGAGAAAGATGGACAGTTTCCTCTCATGCAAGTTACGGCTCTTAAATCCCACTGGAGGGTCAAGTGGGAGTCGATTCTGACTCAACCACACATAACAACAACAAACCCAACCAATAAGCAATCTAAAGAAGCAGGAAATAGTAAAAGCAAGCACCAATGATGGATAAAATTTTGTCAAGTGTAAACTAGACCATCTTTCACTTTAATATTCATGCTACCCTGTGCTCAAGGAAAGATTTCACAAACCTTTTGAACAAAGCATTGTTCTGGTTGATCTTTAGAACATTTCCTGGTTTTAACCTAGACTTCTATTAACATTTAGAAAAATTAAAAGTAGGTAGAATATAAAATTTTTTAAAAAAGACACTAATAACCAAATGAAATGTTCCTGAGTAGGCTACTGAAAAAGAGTTGGAAGAAACTGTCATCTCCATATTATGTCTGTATGCCATCTGATAGCTTGCTACTCTTTATTCAATAAAATTTATAAATACTTTTTTGCTTTTTATTAAAGTTTTTCCATTGGGAATGAAAAAAAATAGGTGGAATAAGTTTTATATATATCATACTGCATTGCATTGCATCACATTGTTGACTGTTTAAGGACAAATAAAAATATTGAAAAAATATTATGCCTTGTTTTCAGGTTCTGGGCATCCAAGTGAAATGCTTCCATGAAATTATCACTATAGGTTATAGAGTTTATCATTCTTATGACCTCCCATGGTTTAGAACACTAAGCTGGTAAGTAACTTTTCATGTATGTGATTATTTGATTATTTTCTGAAGTTTGTAGAGAAATATAACAGTATATACTTTGTTGAGCTTTTGTCGATTGGTTTTTGTGGAAAGATAAATGCAAAGATTAATCAAAATTTGAAAAGAATCCCTTTTGGCTCTACTAATCTAGCACAACTATTTTCGGAGCTCATTTTTCAGTCTCTGTAAAAGAAAATGTGTATATATACCATTTTTGTCTTTTTTATAAAAACCTCAATATTACACATACTTATATCCTTATTATGTTTAATATTGAGTTTAATTCTGTAAAATGATAGTTACTTAAATTTTTTTCTTTCCCCTCAATTGTTGTGAAACTGCCAAATACTATATAAATATATATAAATCAATGCATATAAAGTTAGCTAAGAATCATTAGGTGATTTAAAATCATTTTCTTGAATAATTCCTAGTTATTAGACCTTGACAAGGAAATATGATAATATACTAGTTCACTTTTAAACTATTTGTTCATGCCTTTCAATGAATTTGATTAGTGTTGACCAGCAGAACCAGTGTATTATTAAAACAGATGCATCACCTTTGGAATTTAGATTAATAAAAAAGAAAAAAGTTTCTTAATTTCAGTGATTATATTGCATCATTTATATCCTGTTTTCCATGAAGACATCTTTCTAAAACAAAACAATAAAAGCAAGTAAATTAATTTTCATGTACAGGTGAAAGCCTTGAGCTTCTCTCCTTCTAGCAAGTTGTCTTCATGAGTAGCAACATACGCAGATAAAGTCATTAGAGAATAATTAAATAGTAGATTATGCAGAGTTGATTCTAAGTGTAGGGGGGAATAATGATGGACTCAATTGACCTTTTTTTTAATTGTCACAAAGTTGTTTAATTTAAAGACAGACAGTTCTTGTATAAGGAGTTCTGCTAACCCAAAGATGGCCCCTTTTTGGTCCTATGATAATACAATAAGCAATGTCTTCCTCTGCAATTTACAGCCATGGAAAACCTGCTGGAGAGTTAGTTATGGGACTCCATTGATTTTAGAGGCATTCATGGAATATGTATGATACAAGCCAATACTTGAAGTAAAGATAAGGTTTGGATAGATAAATGAGTATTCTGGCTTGGGTGGGGCTTATGAGCAGAAGGCATTTATTGTGGGATAAATATGGAGATCTTGCTAGCTTTACAGAGAAGACACAAGACAATAGAAAAACTATGGTTGGTGAAAATAAGAATATTTGGGAATACTAGTACTGTCAAGTCAGTCTGACTCATGATGATCTCATGTGTATCAGAGTAGAACTATGCTCTGTAGTTTTATGAACGGTTGATTCCCCACCCCTCTCCTTTCTTCCAAAGTCCCTCTGGGTTGATTTGAACCACCAGTCTTTTGCATTAGTATCCAAGTGCTTAATTACTAGTGCCACTTAGGGACTGATTTTTTTTTTAAGCTAAAGAAGCTTTATTAAGGGGTCTCCTGGGCAGGATCTGTTGGTCTGCAGAGAGAGAAACAGGCAGAGGGACAGACCTGGGAGTCTGTGGATTAGGGCAGGTTTTATAGTAAGGGTCATTAGGGAAGGAAGGGAGAGACATTCCATTGTGGTTTAGCCAGGTGAATGGTCTTCTAGGGAGGGGAAGGAGGGGCACTGTGCTAGTTGAGGCTGTTCACTCCCTTTGTTGATAATGTTGATATTCCTTGAATCCTTTGTTCTCCCGTTGACCTTGGTTCTGGCCTGACATCCCAGCCTCTTTAGTGAGAAAAAGGGCAACATATACTTTCTGGCTACTTCCTGCTGAACAGGGGCAAAGATCTTGGGCTCAGAGGCTCGACTGGGATGGCCCAGAACCAGTAGAAAGGGGAGAATATGGATGCCACAGCAGCTGGTTCAAGTTGGTCTTTTTTTTTCTTTTTTCCTGTGAAGTAAGAATTCAAAAAGGCAGGGAGTGATTAATGACAATATGAAGAGCTACTTAAGGCTTGGGATCTGGGTGGGGCAAAGAGTAGTGGGGGGAGCAATTACTCACAATATGAAGAGATACTTAGGGCTTGGGAGTTGAGTGAGGTGAAGAGTTGTGGGGCCCACCATTTGAGATATGTAGGAAGTCTGCTTAATGAGTGGAGCATGTTTGATCTGGGAAAGGTGGTGCCAATGGGGGGTTACTTATGTCCTTAACTGCTGTGGAGGTAGTTAGGATTACTGTGTAAAGTCTTTCTTAGCGTGGTTGAAAATGTTTGGGTGCACACCATTTGGTGATGATGGCATTTGATGATGATGGCATCTTCGGGGTTACTCTAGCCGTCTGGTTTAGACTTTCAGGTGAGGTTCTGAGTATGAAGTGGTCTATGTTCCTGGAGTAATTTCCTAATGAGGGAGAGATGAGGAAGATATGATGCTAAAAGAGGGGATTCATTGGGTTTGTTATGATTCAGTAGAAATGGTTGACTGTACATCAGATCAAAGGGGCTCAGATAGGGTGGTGAGCGGGGTATTGCTTGGATACAGGCTAAGGCAATAGGAAGTAAGTTGCTGCTTTACACACTGTTTATGGAAACTACAGCATAGGAGGCCTAGTGGTAACCCTTAGAGGTCATACAAGAGCTACTGTTAACAGAGTATGGTCTGGATTAGGGATGGGTTGGAGTGAAGTAGAGCCCATATCTCAAAGAACTTCAGGACAGCCAGCAATCAATGTTCATAATAAGTTGAGGAATGGGTTGGTTAGATAGGGAGGGAAGAAGAACCCATGTCTTCGAGGACTTCAGGGCAGCCATGGTCATAAGTCTAGATATCTACTGGAAGTGACCAGTAGTGGCCAGTTTGTGGGACAGTTATTAAGAGGTTAATATCAGGGTTCTTGAGAAAAAAGTATATGGAGCTTCTGTATCCGCCCAGGGGGCAAGTAAGGATAGGAAGGGTGGGAAAGCCGGTTTTAAGTCTATGGCTAGAGAAGGCTTCAGAGGGCTTCTCAGGGTGAGTTTAAGTACCTCTTTAGTGAGGAGAGCTGCTGCTGCTGCTGCTGCTGCTGCTGCTAGAGACTGCAAGCAGGGTTGCCCTCCCTGGTGACATTGAGCTGCTTAGAGAGGAATGCAGTGGGGTACAGCTGAGCTAAGAAGCCAACAGCAGTACCGTGTTTTTCATCAGTGTATAGATGGAGAGGTTTAGATGGATTTGGCAACGTGAGGGATGGGGTCTGTAAGAGGAGCTTGAAGAAAGCTTTTTTAACTATCTGGGGTGAATCTAGGGTTCCTTGTGTAGTGGCTTTTGCCAATCTCATCTCATGAGTGAGTTCCAGTGGGAAACACTCCTCTTTTTATTCCATTGTCCCCTTTCAAAGGAGAAATTCTACAGCAGTGTTTTCTCAGCCTTTTTCTGGCCCACATATGCTCTCATCAGTAGAATCTCAGGGGGTTACCTCTTTACTTGGAGTGGGGACATATAACAACTTTGTGGAGGAGGAGGGTGGTTTTATAAAGCTTATAAAGTTTTATCATGGTTACTCCCTTCCATCCTCAACTTTCATCCCTTAAGAATCACTGTTCAACTGAAGTCCCTCTGAAGCATTGAGGAGAGTGAAGAAGATGACAATTTGTGCGAGTGGGAAAAACGGTTGAATTACCTCTTCCTTAGAATAGGTGAAAAGAGCCCTGGTAGCCTAGTGGTTAAGGGCTGTGGCAGTCTGCCTCTGTAAAAAGATTACAGCCTAGAAAAGCCTCTGGGACAGGTCTGCTTTGTACTACAGGGTCACTACAGTGTTAATTGCCTCAGTAGCAGGGCACAGCAACACTATGACAGGTGGGAATTTGCCTTTGGATCTCTACTGTTCAAAAGTAATGGAGATGTGAACAGATGGAAGTAAATCTGTTATGAACTTGATTGTGTGTGTGAACATACATGTTCATACAAAGGGCAGGATAAATACTCTTTGTTTGCTAATCAGTTCTCTGCCACTCAATTTTAACCTAGTAAAGGCTTGAACTGTATTTGGTTACTTTTTGTAGACTGATAATTTTTAAATTCTATGTAATACAGGAAAGTAGCATTTTGGTGGAATATATCCTGAATTTGTCTTTTGAATTTCATTGTGGTCTGTGTCATCATAAAAATGTGGGAAATAATTCTATTAAGGGGACAAAAGACTTCAAATGCAAAGAAAACCGAACCTGATTGTTTGTAAATTCTAGGTACTTTCTACTGTGTGTAAACTACTTTTTCTATGGAGAGACAGTAGCTGATTATTTTGCTACATTTGTTCAAAGAGAAGAGCAACTTCAGTTTCTCATTCGCTATCATAGATTTATATCATTTGCCCTCTATCTAGCAGGTAAGTCAAGGAAAATATCCTATATTGATATATTTATGTTTTCCATGTTTGTCTTACTTATTAAGTGTAAACAATCTTAACAATCTTATAAGTCCCCTTTTAATATATTTGGAAATTTCTTTGCAAATTATGGGGTATTTTTTTCTGTTTTATATAGTGTTCCTGGGTTTTATAATTGGTTTGCATACACTCATATACACTGTGTTTCATTTGTGTACATTGTGTTTCAGACAATGATAATTGTATTTTGTATAACTACTATTGCCATGTGTATTATCACTCTGTCTTTGCAAGTCTCCATTGAGTCTTTCCTATTCCTTCACCACCACACCCCATCCACCCACTAACCTCTGCTATGCTAGTGATTCTCCGCCTCCCCTTTGAACATTTGTATGTATTTTGCTCAGTTATCTTACTATTTTCACAACTGTGGCCTTAGGTGACTGAGTTAGTTCACTCTCCATAATGCTCTCCAGATAGTTGTAGTTGTTGTTGATTACCATCGAGTCGAGCATGACTCATAGCGACCCTGTGAACAAAAAACCTGAAACCTTTCTATAACTATCGTCATTTCTCAAAATTCATAGAGTTTCCAGAGGCTTGTTGTTTAGGAAGCGGATACCACACCTGCTTCCAAACCTGTCTTTAACTGGAGCTCCACCAAACACTGTTCACCATGGGTAATGATTTTGCTATTTGAGACCCCAGTGGTACAAGGTTCAGCATCACAGCAACCCCAGGTTACCTCATTACAGCATATTGACAGAAGAGTGCTGTACCTCTTAGAACAGTGTTCCTCCAAAATATGATAACAACTGACGTTTAACTACAAAAGCCCTCCATGAGGTTTCATTGACTTTAAACAAGAGGCATATATAAAGGACAACCAATATAGTATGTTGTTGTTGTAATACAGTGTTTTACAAAGTCATTCCTTAGTGCTTTGTTGTATTCCACTGTGTGAATATACCAGTTCTCAATCCATTCCTTTGGACTGCTTCCATGTTCTTGCGATTGTGAATACATACATATAGATATAGATATAGATATAGATATAGATATAGATATATATCGATATAGATATATCGATATCGATATATCTATCTATCTATCTATATCCATCTATCTATCTATCTATACATAGATAGATAGATAGATAGATAGATAGATAGATAGATAGATATAGATAGATATATATAAATTGTACATATCTCCATTTGTGTCTCAGTTCTAATTTCCTTGGAATATATTCCTAGCAGTGGAATAGCGGGGTCTTATGGGATTTCTTCTTGGAAGGGTGGAGGGTTGGTGAAGGAGAGGAAAACCCTCTACCAGGTGGATTGACACAGTGACTGCCTGAGTGAACTCTAGTATGTCAGCAAGTGTCAGAATGGCACAGGGTACAGGTTTCAGTTCTGTTATTCATAGGATCGCTATGAGTCATACTATACTCGTTGACACCTAACAACAATGGGATTTCTGTGTTTAGCTTTTTGAGGAAATACCAAACCGCCTTTGAAATAACCTTCCAAATACCTAGGGTGATTATTTACCAAGCAAAATTTACAAATTCCATATGATTTCCATATGAGAGATTAACAAATTTTTATATGAAAGAATTAGCGTATTTCTTTTCCAATCTGTTACAGATTTTGTAAAAATTTGTTGATGTTGTTGTGTTCTGGTAAGTCAGAGCCAACCCATAGCTGACCCTCCAGCAAGTTTCCAAAGGCAGTAAATTCCATGGGAGGAGAGTATCTGTCTTTCTCCCATGCAGCAACTGGTGGATTTGAACCTCATGCCTTGAGGATTGCAGCAGTTTCTTAAATAAAAGTTTATTGACCATAAAACTAAATTATATTTGCCTTATAAAAGTCAGATTGCCCGTGTGGATCTTGACTTCATCACTTACTGTTGTTGTTGTTGTGTACCATAGAGTCAGAACCGACCCATAGCTGAGCCTCTGGCAGGTTTTCAGAGGCAGTTAATTGCACAGGAGGAGAGTGCTCATCTTTCTCCTACGGAGCAGCAGCTGGTGGCCTTGAACTGCGTACCTTCAGTATTACAGCACAGCTGCTTGCCACTAGACCACCGGAGCTCCCTTCACTTACTATTGTTGTTGTTATGTGCCATCGAGTTGCTTGCAACTTACAATGACCCTATGTACAACAGCCCTACATCCTGCTCTGTCCTGTGCCAATCTCCCTGTCTCCGACACATCCACCCTGATTACCCCAGTCACTGAATCAATCCACCTCATAGAGGGTCTTACCCTCCTACACTGTTCCTCCACCCTCCCAAGCATGATGTCCTTCTCCAAGGACCTCTCCCTCCTTACAATATATCCAAAGTATGTCAGACGAAGCCTCAGAATCCTTGCCTCCAAGGAGCAGCTTGACTAGCAGAACAAATTTAGGAACTTTAATTTCTCTGTCTCAATTTCTCTCTAAAGTGGATATATTAATAGTATTTGTCTTGCAGAATTATGAAAGTTATATTACTATATGTAAAACACTTAGAACAGTGGTTGTACTATATATGTTATTAAAACATTGAAATATGCTATTAAGACATACTTAAATTATGGACATTACTTTTTATTTTTAAAAGTAGGATTGTGTTTCAATTTTAGCTTTTAATAGTCTTTTGCAGTCTTATAAATGCCTCAGAAAAAAAGATTCTTCTGTTAATAAAGCTTTGGAATCAGTACAGGTGATTCCATATTTCATCTCTACTAAACTAACTCAACTAAAAAGACTAAGTCTGGAATTTTATTGAGTAATTACGGTGATCTGCATCTTGGTGGTTTTGCTTGAATAGAAACCCCTTCAGACCTTCTACTTTGTTTCTTAATCCATACAGCCAGAAAATGAAACACGTTCTGAAACCACAGTGGTAGTTTTCAGATTATAATTTTTATGGGGGGAATAACTTGCATTTTCCAAAGAGGAGGCTTTCTTTTTTTACAACAAAAGTTTTTATTCAGAGTATTGCATTTTGTGTGCTGTTAGATATTATTTTGAAATGTTTTTAGAGCAATTTTTATTCTTGAAAGAGCAAAGATATTCATTATGACAATAGAGAAGAAATGTTGATTCATACTAACTAACAAGATTGTACTAAAATGTTCTTTAGGAACTTGGAAAATGAATCACTTGACTGGATTTTGTCTGTCAAAATATATTTGCTACTTTTTCTTGGTAGACACTGCATGTTTATTTAATTTTATTAGATGTGAAATGAGCTCTGGGATGGCTTCCTATTACAGAATGAAGGAATATAGTATTTACTTAGCTTATAGTTAGACTAACTACCTGGTGGTGTGATGAGTTAGTTGTTGGGCTGCTAGCCAGAATGACAGCCATTTGAGCCAATTAGTCACTGTGAGAGAAAGGTGGGACAGTTTGCTCCTGTTATGAGTAACAGACTAGAGAGTTCCTCAACCACAGTATGACATGGGTGGATCTGGGGAACATTTTACTTGAGTGAAATAAATTAGAACATCAGTACTATGTATGTATATGTGTGCATTCCCTCCCCCCCCATTATAAAATGCTAAGGAAAGCTTAAAAGGTTTACGCACAGGAAAAAAAATTGTCTTTGTGGTTACTAGAAATGAGAAGGGATAGCATTGTTGTTGTTAAGTGCCATTGAGTCGACTCATAGTGACTGTATGAACAACATACATCGACCTTGCCTATCCTGCACTCTTCTTGCAATCTCTGATATGCTCAAACCCATTGTGGTTTGATAGTCACAGTGTCAAACCATCTCATTGACCCACTACCGTTCCCGCATGATATGTCTCTTCAAGAGCTGCTTTCTCCTGAAAATACACCCAAAGTGAGAGAGAGAGAGTGAGTGTGTGTTTTACCATCCTTACATCCAAGAAGCCCTGTGGTTGCAATTATTCAAGACAGATATATTTGTTCTTTTGGAACATATATGATGCATTCAATATTATTCTCAACACCACAATTCAAAGACATCAATTCTTCTTTGGTCTTCCTTATTCATTGTCCAACTTTCAGGTGAATAGGAAACAATTGAAGATGTTTCATATCTTAAGTTGTTGCTTGCAGCAGGTACACTTTAGTCTTTAAGCAAACATACTTGCTCTTTTGAACTTTAGAATTTTCAAAGTGTTTTTGAAAATTTTGAAATACTTTAGAGCAATTTTTATTCTTGAAAGAGCAAACTTACTCATTATGATAATAGAGACGTAATGTTGACAAGATTGTAGCTAGCAGGATTGTGCCAAAATGTAAATAATTTTACATTCATATTACCCCAAAGAAACACATTTTTTGATTGCTTGACTGTTACTAGTATGGGTGTTGATTATGGCTCAAGTAAATGGAAATTGTTTACAGTCTTACTCCATGTATCATGATATTGCCTATTGGCGCAGTTGGTGAGGATATTTGTTTTTTTAATGTTGAGGTGTGATCCATATTGAAGATTTTAATCTACTGCAGCAATCATTTCAAGTCCTCCTCATTTTCAGCAAACAAGTTTGTGTCATTGGCAGAGAAGACAGATTGTTAATGAGTCTTCCTCTAATCCTAATGCCACGTCCTTCTTTATATAGTTTGTTGTTGTTGTTGTTATGTGCCATCGAGTCATTTCCGACTCATAGCGACCCTATGCACAACAGCTCTAAACCTTGCTCTATCCTGCGCCAACCGCACCGCCTCTGACACACCCATCCCGATTACCCCAGTCACCGAATCAATCCATCTCATAGAGGGTCTTCCCCTCCTGCG